TATATTATATATATTATAGAGCAGTCAGTACCTCACTTGGCACACGTTCCTGTTCTTCAGATTGATGGTGTATCTGCAATCGGTCAGATTTGTGGCGACTTTTCCGGACTCAAAGTGACCCTGCTTGGCGTTCGACTCTCCCACACAATTGTTTTTATCTGAATCTGAAAAATAGATGCCGCTCAATCAGCTCGATAACTTGTCATCATCATTAAAAACTCAACGATTTTTCTCCTCCTTATTTCTCCAATTCTTAGGTGCATTTGGGTAGAATCTTGCAAAAAGGTGGGCAAGTTTTCTTATCGTGCGCGGTTTTTACGCTACAGTTTTCACGGGGCTGTTTGTCAATATTCAGATGAAACTTAGCTTTGAAGTTTCCAGCAGCTTTTTACAATATGTTCCTACAAACTTCGGGCAGTTTTTTCACTTTGTGCGGATTTTGCACAACAGCAAAAGGCAATTTTTCAAGCACCAGATGAGGTATCAGCTTGTGGCCGAGCAGGCTTCAAAGGGCAGTTTACTTCAATTATGGTGTGTATTTACGCATAATCCAGCAAAAAGTTTATGCGGAATATATTTTTTTGGACTTTTTGAAAATATGTTTTGGTTTTTTCGTTGTGCGTTTTTTACTTTCATTTTTTAAAGTCCATTTGTCAAAGTGCCGTTTGCGATATCAGTTTGCGGCTTTTAGCAACCTATAACTTTACGTTATCCACGCTGCAAATTTGGGAAGAATTCGGCTAAAAATTAGTTCGAAATTAAGTCGCTTAAACTTTGGACAGTCTTTTAACCTTATGCTGTTTTTCTACTACAATTTTGAAAAAGACATTGATCTAAACTCAGATTAGACATCATTGTGCGCGTTCAGCAGCCGTTAAAGGAAGCTTTATCTTAAGTAGTTTGCAAATTTCAGCAGAATCGAAGGAAAAACTTCTTCGGAATAAATTCTGAAACTTCAGCCAATTTTTGACTTTGTGCGGCTTTTACTCTGCAAATTTTCAGAGCCGATTGTTAAAAAACGAGACGAAATATCAATGTTCCCCTGCAAGCAGCTTTTGTTCAAACTCAACTTTAATTATGGTGCAAATTCTAAAAAAATCGAGCTAAAAACTGCTTCACAATTAATTCCTCAACTTTGGACAGTTTTTTTACTTTATGCTGCAATCTTCAAATGACCATTTTTCAAGAACCAGATTAGGCATCAATTTGCAACTTCCAGTATCCTTGGTTGTATTTATTTCGCAAATTTCAGCAAAATCCAGTGAAAAGCTTCTTCGGAATAAATTCCGAAACTTCAGCCAATTTTTTAATTTGCGCGGCTTTTGCACTACAAATTTCAAGAGGCGATTTCTCAAGAACGATATAAGATATCAATGTGCTCCTTAAAGCAGTCTTTAAACCAAACCTGATATTAATTATGGTGCAAATTGTAAAAAAAATTGAGCTAAAAGCAGCTTCGGAATTAATTCCTCAACTTTAGACAGCTTTTTTACTTTATGCTATTTTCGCACTGCAATCTTCAAATTACCATTTCTCAGGAACCAGATCAGACATCAATTTGCAGCTTCCAGCAGCCTTAAAGGAAAGCTTCATCTTAATTAGTTTGCAAACTTCAGCAGAATCCAGTGAAAAGCTTCATCGGAATAAATGCCGAAACTTTAGACAGTTTTTTTACTTGATGCGGTTTTTGCACTACACTCTTCAATAGGCCATTTCTCGAGAACTAGCTAAGGTATCAACTTGCAACTTTCAGGGAATTTCAAAAGAAGCTTTATTTTAATTATATCGTAAATTTGGGCAGAATCCAGTAAAAACGTTGGTCGGAATAAATTCCGACACTTCCGGCAATTTTCTTACATCGCCCGGCTTTTGCACGGCACATTTCAATAGGCGATTTCTCAAGAACCACTTAAGATATCAAATCGCGGCTTGAAGCAGCTTTTAAGCGAAGCTTGACTTGATTTAATCGCGCTCAAAACTTCTGAAATATACGTCCAAAAATAGCTACGGAATTAATTCCAGAACTGTAGACGGTTTTTGTAATTTTTTCTGTTTATGCACTACAATCTTCAAGAGGCGATTTGTCAAGAACTAGATAAGACATCGGCTTGCAACTTCCAAAGACCTTCACAGGAAGCCTGGTTTTAACCATGTGGTGAATTTGGGCAAAATCCATAAAGACAATTCGTCGGAATAAATTCCAAAACTTGCGGCATTTTTTTTGCGTTGCGTGACTTTTGCACGGCAAATTTCAAGAAGCGATTTTTCAAGAACCACTTGAAATATCGATTTGCAGCTTGCCGCAGCTTTTAAACGAAGCCGGAGTTTAGTCACGTTGCAAACTTGGGAAAATTATATCCAAAAACTGCTTCGGAATTAATTGCAGAACTTTGGACGGTTGTTG